TTTTTAGTCATAACTTGAGGGGGGATGAATTTTAAAGAAAATATATTCCCCGGTAACCGGCCGGCCCTGTCTATATTATAAATATATTTAGGTTTACCACAGCGAGGGCCCAGGGCATAGCTATAGGTGGAACAAGAGAAGCTGTGGAGTTGTCTGCTTTATCAAGGATAATCTCAGAAGATCATATTTTATCAGAGTTTACGATATGGACAATAATATTCAAGTCTTTGAACAGGAGATCTATAATCAATTCAAGTAAGATAATATTTTTTTTTCAGAAAAGTTTTTTAAGTTTTATGTGCCGAACTTTGTTTTTAAGTAAAAAAACATTATTACAAGATAATTATTTGGTTTGTTTAGATATAAAACACCTCGCCCTTACTTCCATACGTTCGAGGGAGATGATGCACAAATCGGCCTAAATTTCGTCGACGAGAAGGAAGCTGAAGGGTTTCAGCAGACTGTGGAGAGTAAACTTCAAGAACGTAGGAACAGACGAGAGCGACGGCAGGGGAGCAAGAAGCAGGTGATTCCAACCAACGGGAATCGTCCAGTCAATGGGACAGAGAAGATATCAACTGCTTACACTTCAACCGCACCGCCTTTTAAGAAAGAGTCTGTTGGGAAGCGGATTGAGAAGAAAAAGCTTAAAAAGGAAGATATAGGGATGCCAACCAACTTTCAGCATATTAGTCACGTGGGTTGGGATCCAAACCATGGATTTGATCTAGAGAATGTGGATCCTAATCTAAAGAAGTTCTTCCAGAAGGCGGGGGTAGATGAGAAAGCTCTCCAGGACAAGGATACTCGGGACTTTATTTATGATTTTATTGATAAACATGGTGGAGTAGAAGCAGCACTAAGAGAGGTAAACAGTTTGAATGAAGGAATGGCTCCCCCTCCTCCTCCCAGAGTTATCAGCGCTCCCAGCAGCGCTGTTCACCGTCCTCTCCAGTCCAGCCTGCCTAGCAATCCCCCGCCACACCCTCCTGCAGCTCCTCCTCTATCAAGATCTGCGTCTTCAGCAACAAGAGCTCCGCCCCCAGCTCCTCCTCAGCAGGTTCATCATCCTAATGTTCCTGTTGCGGCTCCACCTCCCCCTCCGCCACCGCCACCTCCTCCCCCTCCTCCACCTCCACCAATGAATTTTGTTGCCCCACCCCCTCCTCCTCCTAATCTCCCATCAGGTTCTACTGCTCCAGCTCCTCCTGCTCTCCCTCCTGTCAAGGATTCCCATGTGAATCTGATGCAAGAGATCAGGAAGGGTGGAACCCTGAGACATATATCTCCGGAGAAGACAGCTATACCTGTTCAGGATACCAGGGGAACCCTGCTGGGACAGATCAGGCAGGGTGTAATCTTGAAGAAGGTTACTATAGAGAGCCTAGGTCCTGCGGAGCCTGGAGTAGAGGGTCCTGGTATAGCAGGAATGTTACAGAAAGCTCTGCAGGAAAGAGGAATGGCTATGGGAATGTCCTCTAGCGATGAGTCGGATGGTGACGAAGATGATGAATGGGATTAAAAAGAGGTTCTTATAATATTATTTAGCATATAGTTATACCTATACAATGTACATGGTAATTAGGCGACCACATTAAAATGGCCTTTTATATGATAGTTAAGGATGTTAATCGGTTAAAGGATTGCATGAATCCTTAACTTTTAAAGTGTGATGTACCAATTTTTAAAACAAATCGGATAAAAGGAATAATATTATGACAACCAAAAGGCAAACCACACTGTCGAAATCCTAAACCTGAAAGAATATGGCGTGTCTTGGATTGAGTATGTTGCTGCTAAAATCAGACTAACAAATGGAGACCGCGTACATCACAAACAATTTTTAGTAGTTCCTTAATTCCCATATAAATTTTATGCAAGAAAACTAATCAAATATGCACTTAAACCATATAATTTTAAATATGTAATACAATTAATACAGAGTCACCCAAAAAGAATGAGACTTATGACGACCCAAAACTCTATTTAACATACTTTTATTTATTCCAATATAAGGAATGATTTCTTTGACTAAATATTAATTGGACGATCTCCGCGAAGAATTTTTTAGTTCTGATAAGAAGCCATTAGCTATTTTTTTCTTTTTTATCTTGATTTATTCTGCAGTATTTCACCTTATCCGTTCAAATATTAATGTAATGAATAATAACTGTTTTAACAACAATAATTTATTTTAAATACATATATTATACTACATACAGCAACGAAATTAATGGCGAGACGATAAAGACAGACAGAGGAAGAAGTTATAAAGTATGCAGGGTCGCCCACAAAGAATGAGATTTCAGAGGCGACTTTACAGACTACAGAATTTCTTTAGTTCATGGTTCTTTACAGCTGTAAACTGGTTTCTTTCACTTCAAAATCATTTAATATATCAACTTCAATCTTTAAAGATTTAAAGAACTTTAGGTCGTCATTATAGTCGCATTCTTTGTGGGTAACCCTGTACTTTTTTATTCTGTTAAAATATTTTTAGTCATAACTTGAGTTTCTTTAATGTCTTGCCGAGTCTTAAAGCTCCTTAAAAAATGTTTTCTCCTTACAGGGACTGTAAGCGTAATTTCAAGGGACCCTCCATCCAAAAAATTGCAATGCTTGATTATCAAAGGCCCCCCTAAACATTTCTAGAGGGGGGTGGGCCGGAAAAATGTGTATTATGCTCAACCATGAAAAAACTTGCTTACCAATTCAGGATATTTTTTGAGGGAAAATTTTTATATTTTGGGGTATTCATTCTGTTTAGGGCAAATTTGTGTGGGAAAAATCTTAAAATTATATTTCAGGGGCAATTTTTTTAGTTGGAAGAAATCTTAAATCTTTGTTTTTGGGACAAATTCTATTTTTTGTGGGCTTTTTTCAGTTTTGTCAATTTTGTGTATGGGAAATCTTAAATCTTTATTTTGGGGTCTTTTGTTATTTAAGGCATTTTTCTTAAATTATTGGTTATGTTTTTGTTGGGGGCAAACTCCTTAATACTTTGAGCATTATCTGAAGAAAATAAGGGGAATTTTTTGGATAGGACTGTTAAAGTTGATTGTATTTTTAAAACATTTGGGGATAAAAAAAATTAAATTTAGGTGCAAATTAAAAAAATTTGATGCACACTGCTGAAAATCGACCATCAGGTTTCAAGTCAAAACACCTAAACTTTTCCTTTGGATTATATTTACATGCAGGCTAATGAGTTATATTCTCAATTTTCAGAAAATGCCACCTAGGAAATTTTGAGCCAATCAGTTTTTAAGAAATTGTAGAAATCAAGTACATTTACAGAGGTCTCAAATTAATAAACAAACACAGAATAATCTTGATTAATCTTTGAACCTACAGTTACGATTGAGTTTATACTTAAAAATGCACTTGATTTCTACAATTTTTTTGAAATGGATTTATTAAAAATTCCGTAGGTGGCAATTTCTGATATTTAGAATATAATATTAATATATTCCGAAGAAAAAAACTAGGTGTTTTGACTTGAAACCTAATGGTTCATTTTCAGCAGTGTGGATAACATTCTAAAAACCAAGGATTACAAATGTTGAAAAAGGGGGCAAATTTATATAGGGGTTGGGGGAAAGTCTTCTTAAGGTGGCCCCCCTAATCAGGCTAGGGGGCGCCTTGTCCCCCGTAGTTGTGCGCCAGAGAATAAAATCAAAATATTGTATTAACTGACTCTCAAGCTTCAGAACTCTAAAACTACTCTTATGTATGCAATTTTTTAAATTATCATCCATTAAATCTAAAATGTCCCAAAATTCCAACTTTCACGATTAGCACGATCCAATTTAGTTGGAAACCCATATCTTCTAAGTTTGCTTTCATTTCACAAGAGTATAAGTCCGGAACTAATTCTGGAGTTTCGTTCTAAGGCTCTTTTGAATTTCCGGCTCAGGACAAATTCAATGTTAAAAATAATGCAAATAATTGTTGTTTTATATGATCAACAAACTATAATGAGAACTATCTCTATTTAATTTAATCTGTGGTAAAGATAAATAATAAGTCTGTAGGAAAACAATTTATTAAACTAACCCTGTTCAGGTCAATTCTCTGAATATTTCTATCAACTGAATTCAACAAACTAATCGATTACAATAGTTTAAACGAACATTATTCTTCTTTATAACCTAGTAGGGTCCTGGTACTTAAAGGTGTATTGGATTCAAGCAAAATCTTTAAATCTAGGCACCTAGATACTAGATACTTTAAAGGAGAATTAAAAGGTATGACCACATATGCTACTTAAAATATAAAAAAAACTTTTTGAAAATATCCCCCCCCCCCCGCGGATGCTTTAAACCCATACATTATTGTATTTTCCTTATTTCAGCGAATAAGAATGTAAAAACCATGGGGGATGAATTATTTTGAAGAAAAAATATTCCCCCTTATACCCCGAGAACCCACGTAATAATTTTTACCGGGTAAACAGATACCTAACTGAAGAATGAATTATTAGGTTTATTTTGAACCCAGATCCTGGATTCTAAACTTGAATTGGGATTACTAGTTTAAATAGAACCTAGATTATGGATTATAAACTTGGAAAAGGATTACTAGTATACATAGAACCCAATTCCTGGATTATAAACTTGAAATAGGATTACTAGTTTATATAGAACCCAATTCCTGGATTATAAACTTGAAATAGGATGTCTAGTTTAATAGAACCTAGATCCTGGATCATAAACTTGAAATAGGATTACTAGTTTATCTAGAACCTAGATCCTAGATTATAAACTGGAAACTAGTTTCTGGCAATTATATAGATAAGAGGTCTGAAGGCAGGTTTCACTATGGTCAGCTGTTAATGATGCTGTCACGGGGACTTCTTGACAGCTGTTGACAGTTTTCTATTTGTTTTCACTTTTTCATTTTTAAGCTGTCAAACGTTTTCCAACTGCTGGCATGAAGACCCTCCAGGTTTACGTTTATTGCAGCGAAGAATATTGTCGACAGTTCGTTTGACTCAAGGAAAAGGTAGTAAAGTAGGAACACGGGTTCGTACTATTTATCCGTTTCATATGACTGTGCAGTCTTGTTTATTATGATCGATATCTTTTCATTTAATCCAACACAATTCCCGCAATTTCCGGGGGTTAGTTAATTTAAGTTAAATCACAAAAAAATATAGAATTTACAATAAATATTTTGTAATGCCAAATGTAGCAAGGGCTTTGTAATATTATCTTGTTGCAAAACACGACATGAAAAACTGCTCACAGTCCACTAGAAACTTTAATTTTCAATATCTAGAACCCACGTGTACTGTACAGTCTATGTACAACTAGACTATCCCGGCGTGTACAGATCTAGGAAACGACGGAACCGAATAATAAGGTTGAACTGGGCTGAAGGTATCTGATACTGTGTGAATGACTGCAGGATGAGTGTGTGTGAGGTAATCAGACTCTGTTTCACCGTTGATCATTAATGACTCACATTCCTAGAATAAGATTAAATTTTTCATTTTATATTTTATTGTATATCAGCGCAGGGGTAAATCATGATTTTTAAAAAAATAAATAGAAATTAAATGCTTTCCGAAGCTTTCGAAAATAAAAAATAAAAAATATTTCATTTCTTTAAATTAATCCCTTTATTTTATTTTCTTAAGTTCATTCAAAAGGGTAAAATTTTGATGTTAACTATTTTTTTTCGGATGATTGAATGATTGAATGATTTTTTAAATCAAATCATGTAATTGTATAGGGATTGCTTGAGGCATCCTTCCTTTTGTTCAGAGTTTCAAATTTCGAAAATTTCGAAAAAATAGATATAATGACTGAATATACTAAATTCTTCTTTTTCCTCCAATTTTTAAAATTCATTTCAATTGAATTCATCTCTTCTCATGTTTTTTCAAGTTGACTCCGATTGGAAAAATTTTCATGTTAACTATTATAATTGTGATTTTTTAATAAACATATAGCCCACAATTTGTTAACAAGTTCATCAAAAATAAAAAATATAAATCTTACCACTGTCTCTGGGCTTCTCTGTTCCTGCTGAGGATGGATCGAACGTCGGAGACGAACCTGAGAGCGTCCAGGACGGGCAACAGGTTCAGCAGGGCTGTGTCACTCGGATCATTGAACCAGGATTTGATGGGGATCGCATTATCTAAAAAAATACAAAAAAAAATCAGATTTTAACTCATTTACATGGTCTGCAGAGTCCTAGCAGTGAAAAAAAACGAATTTTAATCAAAATTTGAGTTCAAAATGTTTCGTTAAAGAAAGTTTTTTTTAAAACGTCTATTTCAGTATTATTATCTATTCCCTTCTGCTTCATAAACATTCCATTGTGAGAAATTGTATTGAAAAAAATATAAAACTCGTATTTTGATGTGGGAAATCATATGATAGCGTTCTATAATGATTTGTACCTGGATATCCCCTGTACGCCCCTGGTGAATTATCTAGGATGAAAACTGAGGAAAGATCGGAGCAAATGGCTGACAGATCCTTAGTATAAGAACCAAAGTCTAGTGTACAATGCTGGCGGTAGTATCTTCTCTTGAGCATACCCTGGTTTCCATCCAGCTTATCCGCTACAGCAGTTCCGTAGATCTCCATACTTGCAGTGAACACAACCAACTCAAACCACTGGGACACCTAGAAACAGAAATCTATGAAACAAGGATGATAATAATAATAAAATGGTAAATTGATGTTTTTGACAATTTATAAATAAAATCTTCTTCTTGAAATGTATATTGTACAAGCTAGGGCAGATTTCTCCGACATCTTGTATTAACCCATTTACCGAGAACATGAAAATACACTTTTTGGAAAACTCGTTCCTGCATCTCTTTGCAGCCCAATAGAGACAGAGAAAAGTTCTTTTTGTTAAACAGAGAAAAACAAATTATTTTTAATCTAAGTTCTTATCCCCCCCCCTCCCATTTTAAATGTTTATATCCTTGTGCAATGCGTGATAGATCGGGAGAAATACAATATATTATTAGTATTGTTAAGGGTTCAAATTAGTTTAAAGTTTCACTTACCACGGAGAGGAAGAAATCTACATGAGGACGTTTATGAACAAAGAATCTGACAGGATGACGATCTATCGTCACTTTCAGGATAAAATCCGGCGGAGTTCCAGGCTTCACTGTCGGACGAATAACTCCGTCATGATTGGAGTGTATCAAAGTTTCATCAAGGTCCAAGACGAGAACCTTCTTGTGGACCATCGTGAGACGATGCCTTGATATTTGGGAGAGAGGGGATACATCGTATTTGATGGCTCGGTGCTGCTGAACCTGAAAACAAATATATTAACATTTTAAGCTGAATCTGCCAACTCTTTCATTTTCAAAAGAAGCGTTTAGTTCCCGCGGAAAAATAAAAGTATAAAATAAGTTATATATCGGAGTAATCGAACAGAAAAGTCCTGCACAGACCAAAAATATAAAATGGGGTTTGTTATTAGAATTCCCGTAAATAGCTAGTAAGTTCGGTTTAAAATTGAAGGGGAGATTGGGAATGGCAAGGTAACGGTATATGGGTTAGGGTGTGTGTACACATTAGACGGACGTATTTGGACTGCTAGGAAGTAGATTTATCAAAACAATAACAAAGATTAAAATTCCCGACTTTTGTTTATTTACCCAATTTCAGTTCCTGAGGTCAAAACTTTTGAATACCGATAATTTTAAAGACTTGATCTCGATATACACTGTGAGTGAAACTTTATAATTTAACGATATTGGAATTGATCTCTTAAGTTATTCCTGCCATGGGATTAGATCCCAGGATATCCAACTAGAATTAGCTGAACCCTTCGGACGATGCAGATAACTCGCAATACATGATATTTGACCTCCAAATAAGTCATAGTAAAATTAACACACACCCTATCCCAATGCCTATAGTATACGATACACAGCCTGGGGTGGGAAGGGGGCGTAAACTACCCCCCCCCCCCCCAATCTAGTTAGAGCCAAAATTACAATTTAAAAGAAAATTATGAAGGTCTTCCAACAAATTGGGAAAAGAATGAAACAGTATCTTACCACTCTGATCTGTTTCTTGAAAATATAGGTGATGAAACTCCAGACTTTAGCGACCAACAAGAGACAAGCTTTTAGACTCATTTGCAACGACTTCCACATGAGGGACCCCAGGAATAAAGAGAAGAGATGATGTTTACTAGAGAAAGTTTAGTTCTCCGCAGCCATCTTTCCTCCGTCCTAAAGTGTACACTGCTAGTAATGTGCTTAAGGAAACTAGTGTCGCGGCAAATACGACATTTAAACCAATACTGCGCACAACATTAAATTCAATAATATGTAATGAAGTCCTACCATAAGGAATATTCAGCTAATTCCGCAGCAAAGTATAGACGCAACGTTGGGAGGGGGAGGGGGGGCCGGCATCGACTGAAGGCCCCAACTTAAAAAAAAAATAAAAGGTAAGAACAGTGGAAATTCAATAATATGTACAATGCCTTTTTCTCAAAATTATTTGAACTTCCGAGGATTCATTAAAAGCTAACCAACGTGCACAAGAATCACAATTTTCACACAAAACAAAAAGTACCCCACCCCCCTCCCCACTCAGAATTTAATCCCAGTTCGGCGTCAGCTTCTTCAGCAACTGAGATAGAGAACCTACGTTTTGAATTTTCGAAATTCAAATATTCTAAATAACATATTGCGTCGTTTTAACATTTTTATATAAGTTCAACCGACCAGACGAACCAGACATTGATTTGAAAATTCGTCGTTCAATGATAAGCGTGGAGTAGCGCAACTATAGGGAGGGTGCGAGTGGCGACCCCTTCCTTAGCCTCTAAGTACTTATGATCTGTTCACGTAAATATCAATTATAGGTCATTTGAACATAAACATTAGTTAAGTTCAAAATGCCCAATCAAGTTCGTCCTAGCCTCTATGGTCAGGGACGTTTTAAGGAATTTCTCCTTAGTTATTTTTCTTTTGAGCAAAAACTCTCAAAACCATAGCTTTCACTAACCTAAGGTGGGGCTGAGCCACAATTGCCCAACCCCCTAAATATGCAATTTTCTATGGTCCACCGTGTCAGAATATTACTGCGAATAAATGCTGAAAAACGTATTTCAGAGTATGTAAAATTTAGCGAAATCGGACCATTTATCTCGTTAGAAAACAAATTTTGTAAAGGCTCAATTTAGCCTTAAAGTGGAGTTCATAGCTCATAATTATTTATTTATTTAATTTGTCATCTATACGGAACAAGGATTTTTTATCTGATGTCGCTGACCTCCATAAGACCAAATAACGGTAAAAGTCACATGGCAAAATAAAGGTCTTCAGATTCCGAATGTTCGTGATCCTTGCTTTCAAAAATGGTAAATTTGCAATGTTTCCCTTTAATTAAACTTTGGCAGACTCAAAATTTTGCATCATTCTTCAGCACATTTATTTTAATTTTTGGGACAATCTAATAAACTATTGAACGTTTACTGACAAAACCTTGAATCCCAACTTGCAGGTTTGAACTTGACTCAATATCTACTGTACGAAAGTCAAAAAAAATTAAACTAAACAAAACCCAGGCATTCAAAAATGTTCTCATTTAGAAAGAAAGAGCGCACGAGTCTCGATTATTTTTCAACAAATAACTTTTGAATAATTTGTTTATTTTCATGAGAAGACCATGTGCAAATACGAGCAAATAGTTTAAAATTCAGAACGCAAACGGAAAATTGGAGTCTAAGGCGCACGTGGAATACATACAAGACTTTCCACCATTTTCAAAACTAGAAAAATGTCGCGCGCGCGGTATCAGGATTTAAAAGTTTTGCTGTTTTGCCCATTAAAAACTACAATTATTTTCTTTTTACCTAAATTTCTTCTAGACGATACATTCAACTCTCTAATTGAATGTTTCTTATACTCAATTGTTTACATTTATAAATCTGAAAGAATAAAAAATATTACGAAGTCTAAAAATTTATTTTGATTTAATTTTCTTTAATTCTGCCCCGGATATTTTTAGCATTCCCCCATCGAATGATCCAACTTTGAGCTGAGAACTCGAGCTTTTCACCTTCTTCGATCCTTTAGAGCTGTTCTTATTTTTAGAATTACGGTTCGGTTTATTAATCAATTTATTTTCATTCTCCTCCTCTAGCTTCTTAGTTTCCAGTTTTTCTAGTTTCCTCTTTTCCTTGAGTTCTTGTAACGGAATACATTTGTTTTTGGGTGGTTCTGCACCTAGTTTTATAGCTAGTGCTATTTTAGCATCAACCCTGTCTTTCCTGGAGAGAGCGTTGAGTCCGAACTTGAAAACGTCCAACCTAGCCTGATCCATACTCATGGTTGGACCTATTTTCTCCTCCTCCAACTTACCAGTTTTCTTTTTCTTACTCCGGTAGGCGGAGAATGTAACAATCTCGGGCGCTTCATGAGATTTTCCTAGACTTGATGCTAAAGTTTGAATCACTTTGTCGCCAGCTATTTTTTCCTTCTTTTGTTTTCGTTTTCGAATTTTCTTCTCTCTTTTGCGCTGGTACTCTTCCAAACAGACAAACATGCATGCAAAGTATAGATGGTGTAACGGACGGACACATCCCTTTAGGCTTGCCAATTTTTAATCCGCAGACTAGACCAAGTAAAATCGGATGTTGGGAAAGAATACAAACTGGATTTATTTACACCGCAGTGAAGTACTGAAATGCAACTCTTGACCCTAACTATCCTGTACAAAGAGCGAGGGAAGGCCATGTATGCTGAAAATATTTTCCCTTCCCTCCCACGCAAACTCAACTTTTTTGTCATCCGGCACTGATTAAATTGCATTAAAAATCCGTTTCCCATTTTGAACACTAAGCAATTTTAGAGGAAAGATTGAATTTATTTTTGGGGAAAATAAGTACATTAAAAAGAATCATAATTAATTCGATTTAAAACTTAGATATCAAGATCTATATCCAGATGATTAGCATGACGTATCTGGATTTAAAACTCGCAATTTCAATGCACTGAATTTGCCAATTGAAAACGTAGTAATTGCCGGAAGAAGCTGATGTGTATTCAAAAAACATGTTCTTAAAACGTTGATTTTCCATGACTTTCCTTTTTTTAGTGAAGGCACAAGGTCAACTCGACCAACAGTCCTGGCGGAAGACTCAATCACTTTATGTGGATAGAATAAAAGGGAAACTGTTTGCGACTCATGAACATCTCCTACTCGTACAAATTTAACACATCGATGAAAAAAACCTTTCTAATAAACCCTTCCTATAACCCAATATACGATCCTCCTCTAACCATTTCACCATTCCTCCTCATTTTACTATATACGTTCCTCCTCCTGAACTATATATATTCCTCCTCAACTAACTTTGCCATATTCAGAACGTACCAAATAAATTTGTCAAGTTGCTTCATACCTTCTTCTTACCCCTTTCTATTTTAAGAATTAATTTTCACGAGCTAAAACTTCATTCGTCAAATAAATATTCAAATTTTTCAGATATGGGTTAAGGCTCTTAAATGAGGGATTGAGTTTTAAGTCATGACCACATTCTAATTTTAAAGAACACCTTTACCCTTTCTTTAGATCATGTATATATGCAGGCTATCGAATAATATTCTCAATTTTCAGAAAATGCCACCTAGGGAATTTTGAGCAAATCAATTTTTGAGAAATTGTAATAATCAAATGCATTTCCAAAGGTCTTAAATTAAACAAAAATTTCGTTTCAAGACTGTAATCAGCTTCTTCTGGTTTTTTGACGATATTTTTTTACAGTATATGACAGTCTCAAATTATTTTTTATTTATCTTCAACAGTAATAAAACTGTTTGTAGCAAAAATCAAGTCCCTAAGTCAACTGCCTGACTGTCAAAATGCGGCCCTAAAGTTTTTTTTAATGTAATTTTTACTGATTTACTCAAGTCTCTTATAGGCAGTAATTGGGGAATAATACAGTGAATAGAGTTCACTTCAGGCTTTAATTTTTTGCTATGACATGTCTTACGACTGTTATGAATTCACAAAGTTTGGGGACCCTGGCATTTACTACATCAACAGTTCTATAAATATCGCAAAACACACAGATTAATCTTTGAACCTACAGTTCTAATAGAGTTTAGGCTTAAAAATATCTGCAATTGCTTTAAAATGGATTCAATTAAAAATCCCTAGGTGTCATTCTCTGAAATTTAGATTATAACTAAGAAGCCTGTATATAAATATATTCCGAAGAAAAAATTAGGTATTTTAACTTTTCAGCAGTGTCAAATCCTAAATTAAATATCATACCTAAAACATTTTTCAGATCCTGCACATGTTTTGAATTCATTGTGGAAAATAAAATTTAATAATTATTTAACATTGAATCTGAAAAAATACAATGTATAAAGGTTGGTTAACAATATTTTTTATTCACATCAAAAAAAAATGCGGCCATACAATATACATCAGATTGAATATCCATCTATTCCTTCTTCTTGGGAGGGGGTCTGTAAATTCCAACCACAACTGCGTGGTCTCTCTCATAGGGCTCCAGGGTGACCTAGAGATTAAATCAGCTAATCAATTAACTCTTGTGTAAATTAACTAGCATAAGTTCATATCTACAGCTGTACGTAAAAATGCAAGTAACCCACTAAGCAAAGGCGACAATGCCCGATTCACAAGGGTACCCTTGAATTCATTATCTGATCTATAATGTCTTAAGTTTTGACTAGGTGACATTACTTCATGTATCCTGCATTAGATTTACGCAAGCCACGCAGAATTTCGCAATTGAAAATTCAAAAAATTGTATTACATGATAATTCATCAGACAAAGTTATCTTTACTGAGAGTATCACTTGGAGTTACGCTTTCAGTCCCTTTAAAGGGAAAATGGAAGTTAACAATTACAAGATGCATCTGCTAAAAAAATGTAACATATTTAGTTTTAATCACGAGAAAAACCTTTTTAAATTAATCCTACCTGTTCTTGAGGTTTCATCTTCTCAGCCTGCATTTTCTTGACCTCGCCGGCAAATACGGCCTCAGCCTCGGCTGTTGAGTCAATACAGTTGGCCTTAAATATTAACATCGTCAAAACCAGTTGAAATAGCCAAATTCTTAATTATGTAAAAAAAAGTTGTTAGAAAAATACCAGAGCCCGCGATTTAAAAACTTCCGACTCTACCCGTAATTCCTTATAAGACCCAATCTTTAACCTAACTATGACGACAGCTTGTGTCACGTGATTGACAGCTGCAAGATCTTCGGCTCGGCTTTATGAGTTAGGCCCAATGAAAATAAAAACGAACTTGGTTGGTTTTAGTGGAGAATAAGGCTCAATGTTGATTGTTGAGTCTTGTTTTCATAAAAACCCAGAATGCGCCAATTCAGATCATGAAAATCCGCCAAACAGAATTTTAAACCGGTTTTAAGAACTCATCTCTGTGGAAAAAAAAAGATGCAGATGAATGCGAAAGCTCAAGCCGTAAATAAGGCCCAACGACAACTTCAACCAGAACCGTATTTTCCCGAATTTTTTATATCGAGGGCTCCGTAGAAAACTTGGTTTCAACGCTATGATTAGATTTATGTTTAACCAACTGCTGCTGAAATAATGTATCACTTTAGTGGAGCGATGGGAGGGGGTTGTTTAATACCTAATAAGAGTATCCTACTTCAAATTTAATTGATTATTTGTTTTTAAACGAATAAACAGAAATTTTTTAAAGATTGAATCATCAAAATAAATTAATAAATAAAGGCTCACTTGAATATTTGCAATAGAAGGTTCCACGAGTGTGCATATTTGGCGTACAAGCGTCGAGACAATCGAAATGATATGGAAAACCATCTTGGGTTATTAAAAAGTCCACCATTTTACCCATGATAAAATAACCAAACGAAGATAAAGGTTATTTTTTTTTCTACAAAACGTTATTAATTTTAAAAATTCTACCTTGATGGAAATAACGAAATGTCCGCCGTTCTTGAGGAAATATTGGGCGTTGAGTGCAACAATTCTAGCCTGGTCGGGCTGTGCAACGTCGGCAAATACTGTGTCGACCATAGGAACCAACATCCTGTACTTGTGAGGGTGACGAGCGTCCTCAATAATGGGAACAACATTTGTTCGTCTTTTAGCAACGTTCAATAGATCTCTTAAATAGAAAAAAGTTGTTAAAGGCGGAGTACACTGATTTTATAATTTGAGAGTTTTTGGATAAAGATTTTAAAATATTCACTATTCAGTTCATGATGCAAATTTGTGGTGATTTAAGTATTTCATTAGTTGGCAGCCGTGCTTAGGATCCATTTGATTTTAATGCGGATCCGAATCATGGATTCGCACTGGAAAAAATAGATAGAGATCCAAACCGGATCCAAATCCAGATCCAGGTTATTTTTTAAAAAGTTCGAATTTTTTAACAAAGTAGAATTTTCAAATTATGTCATTTCTTTCGCTTATTTTTACGTTAACCTGATGAACCATTCACCAATCAGGAAAATTTTATCTTTTTCCAATGGTTTGGGTTTTGAAAGCAAAATATTTTTTTTTCCAGTTTTTGTTGAAAACTTGCCCCTTGGATCCGGATCCTAACCGCTGGTTGGCAGGATTTTGCCTCATTTAGTAAAACATTTATAAGAAAGCTTCAAAATGAAATTTAATATTTAAAAACAATTTTAATACTAGCGTACAGTAAATCTGTGTGCAATGAGGCTTTTGTAACTTTAATCAATTAAAGATTTTCTTACCTTCCGGATCTGTGTGAGAATTCAACTGCATAAACCATTCCCTCTGGTCCAACAACATCAGATACATGAGAGACTGTTGTACCGCTGGCAGCTCCTAGGTATAAAACCTTGCTGCCAGGAGGCATGTGGATTTTATCTACTCCACCAAGGATGGCGGCGGCGAGCTTAGATCTGAACGGATTCCAGACTCTGTATTCGACCTTTCCTGCCTCGTCCTCAACAGAGATTCTCTTCTCTCCGTATACAGATTCTCCAACAGCCATGTTCTTAGTGAGCAGTGCGTCCTCCTTCCCCCTGGAGATAAAGACTCCCTCGTGTCTATGGGGTTCCACTACAACCTTCTTTCCGCCTCCCATACCTCCACGGCCACCGCGACCTCCTCTTGGAGCTCCACGACCTCCACGGCCACCACCTCCTCTACCTCCGGGGGAAAATCCTCCACGTCCGCCGGGAGAGAATCCTCCCCGACCTCCACCACGGACACCACCTCCCCTTGGTCCTCCTCGAGGAGAGAAACCTCGACCACCTCCTCCACCTCTCGGTGAAAATGCCGGCATTTTGTCTGAAATTAATCAAAATGTAGATTTTAAAATGAAGATTAATTTCATGCTGCAGCGGCGGAGAAAGTTAACGGTAAGATTTCTGGTAACGGGCTCTGGCTCCGGGACCTCCGAACTTCTTGGGCTCGTTCCTAAACATTAATATTTCAGATTCAATTTTACACATCCTATGGTTTCTATGGTTCAGAGAAATGAAGTTACAAGAAAGGAAATGTGAAAATTTTAAATTTGAACAATTGTAACAGTTTTAGAAGGGGGCATGCACAACCTCTTTTAACGCCTAATTTGGTAATTAATACGATATTCATCTATATAATAAAAAAATACATTCGTATGTATGTCATGAGCTAAAAATAAAACTCGAATTTCTATTCAACACATTTAAATTTTTATTAATTCCACCGGCAACGCCGGGCCCTTCACCTCAGCTAGTATCTTATAAATCGTTGCATCTAAAAGACATAAAACTTGGAATCAGAATTTCCCTTTAAACTGATAAAAAAAACTGAGATTTACCTCCTGGGATCAGCAACAAGTAGAGATCTATCAAACTGGATTAGGATATCCTTGATCTCCTGCTTGGACTGCTCGTCAACGTATTTCTGGTAGTAGGATACCAGGGACTAAACAGGAAAATACCACATCAGGAAGGAAATAGTAGACTATCCGTTAATAAGCAACAAAGAATATAGGGGGCGTATTAGGAATGATGCGAGGGAAAACACAAAAGGTAGACATCAGGTGCAAGTTTTTAGATAAAAGTGTGATCTTACCTTGGAAAGAGCCTGACGGATAGCGTAGACCTGAGAAGTGTGACCACCTCCCTTGACACGGATTCTGATATCAATATCAGCAAACCTGTCCTTGCCAAGGAGTAGGATAGGTTCCTGCAGCTTGTATTGCAGAGCTCTGGGCTCTACCAACTCCAGGGGACGACCATTAACCTAAAGTAAGAACCTTAGCTGAGAGATTTGTCTACGTTTCAATAAGTTAATCGAATTCCGAGAATCGTGACCTCCTAAAAATATTCAGAGGACGAGGTACTTATGTTCCATTATACGTTAGTTCAGAGGAGCTTTTGCTTTAGCTAACAAAATAAGATACAAGAAAGATTATGTTCAGAGATAATTTACTTTATTAAATGTCATAAATATAAATGTTACTGTTGATAGAATAATCTTAAATCTATAAATATATAGTTGTAATCTGTTAATATGTCCGATTATAACTCAAGTACCCCGTGACCGATTTGACACAAATTTTAATTGAGAACTCATGAGCCACAGGAATGGTCTTAGTTTGGTTTATCGGTTCAAAATTAAGTGGGTCGACTTTTGTGTAGAAGTATAGCTAAAATAGTAATTTATTTATGTCTAAGCGTGGGTAAACGGCAGTCGTAATAAAAGTAACCTGAGCAAAGCTGGGTTCCCAAGCTAGTACTGAATAAAGTTGGTACTGAATATAGTTTGGACGAATTTTTCAATCCAATACCAGCATTGCAGATTTGACTCTCAGACTTCAGACATTGATTGTATAACTTAGCGCACAAGTAGATAATACATACAGTCTCAAATGACAAATATAGTGCGCAAACGTGGAGAAATCCTCCTAAAATAAACCCCCCTCCTATCAATTTTGTAAGACGAAATTAGTAAATTTGTTTATTATTATTTAGGGTTAGGCTAGGTTAAGAAAGTTTCTGGGCCGAGCGCTACGGCTAAGATAGGCTAGGGGGCCGAGCGCCGTGGCCACGGGTTAGGTTAAGTTAAGACACTTTCTGTAAGATCCATGTACAAAATTGATAGGATGGACCGATCCA